TGTTTTGTTTGCACTTTCAAGGAAATTATTTTTTTCAGCTAGCCTCATTACAAGCAGCAGTAGCAACGGCAAGGCTGCCGCGCTGTAAGTGAAGCCAAACTCTTAGAGAACAGACAATCTAAGAAAAGAGGGAACCAAAGCTGACATCTTGACTGCAGCCATCTCAGCATTGCAGAAAACAAACGGGTCAGGTTCTTCCCACTAACTTTGCCAGCCTCCAAGTTGCTATTTATAACCAATGTCTTTTTTCTCTTTTGTTTTAAACGGGAAAGTAGTCACACATCTAAACAAATGGACTGCAGACATTCCCCAGCTTTCTTTCTGGAGAATCTCTCCATGCTGTTTTGGATTTGGTTTAAAATAATTGGCCAAGGCAGCCTTCTGGGATGTTCAGATGGTCTCTCTCTCTGTCCCATCCAAGGCCTAAATAGCTATGACACTGCTTGGACTTTTCTAGAGATTGACCGAGGTTAGTTGGCTGCTGCAGCAAAAATGGTATTACACAGAGTATCTTGGACTTGCCTAATTAGTACCATCTTAAATTGTGTTAAACAGGAGCAGTAGCTCATCAGCTCCTCAACTGGGGAGACGGTTCTTCCAGTAAATGGATCTTTTTTCTGTGGGGAAAAAAAAGATCCCGACTCGCCTCTTCATATCAGCCTGCAGCTGCAGGCAAAAAGCAGACCTCCACATTGTCTGCACAGCCATCCAAGAAGCCAGCAGAACCATCCAAGGGGCCATAAGGCTGTTCCAAGAATAAGAAGCACCCGTCGTAGGGTCTGTTACCTAGGACCACCCAAGACCTGCAACAGAAGCCAAGCTCCTCACTCCCCCCAAAATAAAATAAAATAAAAATGTATTCTGTACAGCTAGTCCTTTGCTTATGATTACAATTGAGCCCAAACATTTCTGTTGCTAAGTGAGACAGTTGTTAAGTGAGTGTTGCCTCATTTTACAACCTTTCTTGCCACTGTTGTTAAGTGAATCATGGTTGTTAAGTGAATCTGGCTTCCCCATTGACTTTGCTTGTCAGAAGGCGGCAGCAAGCGTTCACATGACCCGGGACACTGCAACCTTCATAAATATGAGTCTGTTGCCAAGCGTCTCAATTTTGCAGCCGTGGAGAGGCAGAAAGTGTCGTAAGAGCGAAAAAACGTCATAAGTCACTTTTTTTCAGTACAGTTGTAACTTTGGTCACTAAATGAACTGTTGAGGACGACGACCTATAAAAGTTGACTCTCATCATCATAAGATGCATTTGTTCATTAATGACAAACAATGGTCTGTGAAAAGACAACATAGGCTGGAAGAATACAAGGCGTAACATGCAAATGACACTGAATAACCAGATGGTCACTTCATTTTGTCAGGGATAAATATGAAGTAGCAATTACACTTTTACAGTGTTTCCTTTTGAAGTTTACTGCTTTTCCAGATAACGATGGCACAGGAAGCGTTAACCTTACGCTGTCAACACTCTTTGCCCTCTTGCTAAAATATTTATAGTTTTTGTTTTTTGCCTGTAATTTCATATTCACTGCTGTTTTCTATAACCAGTATGACCGTGCTGTCAGTCTCTCTTAATTTAGCCTTCCTTTTGTCTTTTTTCCTTTTTATTTTTCTAAACATTTTGGTTCCTTCAATAATCAAGCATTTGCACTGAAAACCTGAACCAACTCTATGGTTCCTCTGTTGTGGTTACTTTCATGTCCTTTGAACATTATTTTGACTGAACTGTCAAGATTTCAGAACTTGCTGCCAGCATAAAACTGTCTATAGAGAGCAAAGCATTTCCCTTATTGCCAATAGGGGGCAATGCACATCCACTAAACTATATAGGACTTTTGCCTGCCTAGCCAGAATGAACAATGGATCACCATAAAAGCAGCTTGCAATACCGTTATCATCTCAGATTTTTATTATTATTGGTTTACATATGAAAAAGTTGACTTTTCAGCAAGTTTTTCTCTCCAGTAATAAACAGCCCCTTCTAGTTTCAATTTTTGTTTGAAATGGCTAGCAAAATAATAACAATAAGCGAATTAATACATCTATGGAGATTCTATCATCCAGGTCAGTTATCCCAAAGATGCTTTTCCACGAGACAACTGGACTTCGTTTTTCTTTGAAGACGTTTCGCTTCTCATCCAAGATGCTTCTTCAGCTCTGATTGGATCCTATCAGACCTGAAGAAGCTTCTTGGATGAGAAGTGAAACGTCTTCAAAGAAAAAACAAGGAAGTCCAGTTGCCTCGTGAAAAAGCATCTTTGAGATAAGCAAATTAATATATCAATTTGTTGCCCCATTCAGCTCTATCATTTTTATTCTGAGCTTAAGATGGAAAATATCTTCTTGATTGTTCTGCACTAAGGCATGGAAGCAAACATAGGAAGCTGCATGGAGTTGTGTAGAATGAAATGATCTGGAACAACCCTTGTCTCTGCTTTAATGGCTATTTCTATAACTATTGTTAGTTTATAACTCTATTTGTTCTTATCTCCAAACTAAAATAAGAGCTAAAACAACACTGAATCCTAACCAACAGAAAGTTTTAAAAGGGTTAGCAAAATAGGTTAAAAATTATGTGCACAAATCTGAATAAGGATGGCCAAATAGAGCAGTCAATACCTGGGCTATAGAATTTCCATAAGGAGACACAACTGAAGAGTATAGAAAAAAGTATCAGTGGGATGTTTATTTTTAAAAGCCTCTACACCCCCCCCCCCAAAATGACACCTTTATAGAAAACAGATCACAGTGGTAAATGCCATAAGAATATAGAGTTCTTGTTTAATGACAACTGAGACTGGCAACGTGGTCTTTAAGCAAAGCAATCTGTGTTGGGGGGGGGGGTATATAACAGTGACTGTGCTTACAGTCAGTTCAGCTTTTCTTTGCTTGACAGCATCAGGAAATGACTCCAAAAAACCAAATGACCCTAAACAAGTTTCTGGAAATTGACTCACAAGCTAGGTAAAAGAACAAATCTAATTGCTTTTTCTTCACTCCACTGCTCTTTGGAATGCTTTCCCTGACACTGGGATTTATTCATTGGAGAGGAAAGGATTGCACAAGAATAAACAAGCACACAACAGGGAATACATGTCAAAAAGAATGCACTGGCATCAACTATTTGCTTAGCACACTTGCCATAAGCTGCTTAGGAGCAAACAAAAGCCTTCAGTGTGAAATTGATTAGAGTCTGGTCAGTTACAAGCAGCAGCCCCAGAAGATTCTAATCAAGATTACATAACTGAATCTATTAACCTGCAGTTAGCAATTTTCAGACATTCATGCACTTTGGAGAAAAGCACCTTAGGAAATATAGGCAATCTTTCAGCTGGGGAGGGGGGCTGGGAGGGCCAGGCAATACATACTAACTATAATGGTAAATGGATACACAGAAAGTAAGCTGCTGCAAACATTATAAATGTAGGCATTGCTCGCAAAGTTACTTTTTCACATTAACTGCAAATGGTCACTGTCCAAGACAGTTGCTAAACAAGGCCTACCTGTACATGGACTATTCAAAGTAATTTAGTCTATTGTCTTTATTTGAGCTTTTACAGTTCATAAAACCCACTGCTTACAGTACAGGTCAACCGTGTTAAAATAAACATGTCAAAAGATCACAGATGATTAAATAATAATTTATTAACAATATTTTCACAAACATTCTAAAGAAAATTTCAGAAGTCTCTAAACTTAAAATTTGTTCTCATTTGCAAAGTATCCCTTAAAAAAGCAAGGAGAAAAAAGTATATCTTATAGATTTGGGACATGTTTTTAAATTACTCTGTTTTGGTTTGAGTAAACCCCTCTTAATGTTTACAGTACATATTCAATCCTCTTCTCTTGCCAAGAGAAAGTAACTGAACATAAATTGATTTTTCACTTTCAAGTATGTAGAAGGGCACTAGATAGTTTTCACAGGCAACACCTTTTCAACTTTTAACCTGATAGCAGTTTTGCAAATTCATTCAAATTATTTTAGAATATATTGAATTCAAAACCAGCTTTTCTCCAGAATGAAAGCCACCATGCAGTACAATTGTTAGCATGCACTTTGGTGATTATTTTTGTACTCCATGGTATGTATCTTTTCTGCCAACAAAGGGAGTCCCATTGTGGTTTGATTAAAATGTACTCAAACATTTTATGACATTAATATTTATTGCTTTATATGAATACTGTATTGAAAGCCCAAGCATCCAGTTTACACACAAATTATACAATTATACTGTATACCGTTTCACAATGGCAGTGAGCACTCTTTACAATCTACAAAAATCTACTTTACAGAAATTTAAAAATTCTAAATATCAAAAAGGTACAGTTGAAGAAACAGGTATAAATTTGGCAGCCAGTAAATGCGACTGGGAGGTTACATTTTGAGTGTTTTTACACACTGATGACTGAAAAATATAATGTGACATATTTAAAGCAGTAATTGTGCTTTGAGCTGGTTTTGGAAAGAAAGTGTTAACACTGGCTGTCAAAATGGATGTTTAAAAATATTCACTTTCAAAATGATGTACAAATGGTAGCCATTCAGCTCCGATACATAACCTAGACATGCAATGCTGCAGCATTTCATATCAGTCTGATCTCCTACTATAAAACCATTACATAATGTCAGAAATTTTCTCAGTTCACAGAAACTATCTTGTCAGGTTTGCAAACATTCCTGCTACAAAAAAAAGAAAAGAAAAAAAAGCTGAAGATATTATTTTGAAATCTGTTCTCAACAGTTTTTCAACAGTAAAATGGAAACCTATTTTCCAGGCACCTCAGAAATGTACAAAAGTGTTGTTAGAACAGAACTCTTGGAATGTATTTGACCTGGTACTTTCAACAACATTCGGATCTTTTAGGCCAGTGTTTCTCAACCTTGACCATTTTAAGGCATGTGGACTTCAACTCCCAGAATTCCAGCCAGCATTGCTGGCTGTGGAATTCTGGGAGTTGCAGTCCACATGCCTTAAAATTGTCAAGGTTGAGAAACACTGTTTTAGGCTATCAGATGGGCCTAATTTTATTTGGTTTATTCGGGGGTAAAAATGTTGTCTCGTATGAAAGAACATGGTTGCTTCTATTTAGAACAGAAAATTCTTCTAAAGTGCAAACATAGATTTTCTTTAGATTTGTATATTATCAAGTATTATATGCCAATGTGTAGCTTTTTCAAGCACAAAATGCAGTCAAATGAAAATCTGTAAACCAACATGAAATTGAAGTGTTGAAAACCAAACCAAAAATTAGCTGCTACAGCATTCGGGGGAATTAAAGAGACAGAGAGAGAGAGAGAGAGAAGTAATTAAATGTGGAATCTCCAAAAAATTGTCAGACTTAGAACTGCCTTCCAGTTTAAAAATTTTAATTCTAAATAATAAAAAAAACTATACACAGACCAGATTTGACCATACTGAAATTTCAGTAGCAAGCAGGACCTGAAGGAGCCAATATTTCACAGTAACAAGTACAAGTCCTTCAGGATTTAACGCACGGAGAAGTTCAATTTACATCCTGCTTCTCTTGGAAAACTAACAGTCCACTTTTATTACATAAAATTATTTATACAGTGTAAAACCAGAGCCTCGTGGAAAATACTGCCTCTAGGTGTATTAAAATTATTAGTCTTGTTCCATAGGTTCATCTGCAGCTTCTGTGGCGTCATCGCTGTTTTCCACTGGGGTCTCTGATTCAATTTCAGGAGTTTCACTAACATTTGAACCCAATTCTTCTTTGTCACTGCAGTCAGCTTTGCTACTAAAAGATCCACTGTTCTCACTATTTGGAGAAGATGAGTCTTTCATTGCTTGAGTCTGGTCAGATTCCCCAATCTGATTATTCTCCTCAGAAACATCTTCTTTCTCAACTGAGGAGGCACTGTCTTTGTCTAGAACTTTTCTTTCTGGAAAAACTTCTCTTGACATCATGAGAGATTCTGGAATAAAGTTAGAATCTGTTATACAGATGTTTAAAACAAAGCAACACTAAAATTTTATACAGATAATAATCATGAAAATACATCGCTTCTTGTGCTTTATGCCTCAGCAGGTGGCAGCATTTAGCTGACCTTGTTTAGCTAGGAACTTAAAGACATAGGTTTTGGATAGTTCTTTGGTTAGAACACTTCGGAACTCCAAGGCTATTGCCTAGACTGGAAAATTGGGGGACAGGGGAACCCTGTAAGGCAGCAGCGGCAAACCAATCCTATAACGCTACCAAGAAAACTGCACGATGCAACCAGCAAGAGTTATGATCATCTTGAGGGATTTGTCTGAATGCCATCCAGGAATTTTCTGACATTTTTGGACTCGGCTTGATCTAGAATGGTCATAGGTTCCCAGTTGAAACTGGTTAAGTCTGTCTATGTGTTGTAAAATTAAGGAGTTTTTATCATAGTTCTGACTGCCAGCTGATGTTCATGGATACGATCTGCCAGTCTTCTGTCTATATGTCCTACATAATGGCTATTGAAGTCCTCACACTGTATGTTGTAGAGGACTCCTGTTCTAGGGCTGCTGAGCCTTCTTAGTTTACTTTAGTTGGTTTGTGTGCTACGATGATGCCAAGTGATGGTAATGAGTCTGTTGTGGTTTCTGAGATGTTTTTGATGTATGGCAGTGTTAACTGTTTCACAGTTTGTACTGATTGTGCTATATATCGGGTGGAGTATCAGGTACTTTTTGATGAAGTTTGGTTAGTTTACTACAACTAACCAAAATGTGTAGCAACTTGATGAAGTTGCATGGATATCTTGTTGGAAGATGTTGTATAGATGATCTGTTTCCTTTTTCTGATGTTTAGGGATGCTACCATGTCTTTGTACTAATCTAAATAGTGTTCTTACACACCTTCTCTTGTGGGAGGTTTGATAGCATAGCACTTGGTTGGTGTGGATGGTTTTATGTTACTCTGTCATCACTGCCTCTGCTGATGAGAATATCCAGGAAGGATAGCCTATTGTTTTCTTCTTCCTTTAATGAATTTTATACATTTGAAGATGTTGTTGATGATTTTGTATATTCTCTAGTTGGTCGTTTTTTATTGTGACAAACCAAACCCCACCAACACTGATAGGACAAGTATATATATAAGTCTACTTATATACACATATAAAATGAGAGCAAACCCACTCCCTACTAGTACTGATGTTACTTAACTGTGTAATGAAACATTTGCAAGAAAACAACCAAACCCAGAAAGCACCAAGGACTCCACAATTTGCTAAATGTTGCAGACTTACACTGGCTTGAAGGGCAGAAGACTAAAAGTCAGTTTTAGTACCTTTTATGAATTAAAGCGTGTGGGAATGTCACTGCACAAAAGTAAGTTATTTGCAATGTTGACTTACAAAATACAACACACATTCCAGTTTGACCATTGACAGAAACAACTGGGAGTTCGGTCTGGATTTAATACACAATCTTTGCAATTTCATTGTACTATCAAAACATAATGTGTTTACAGAGACTTATTAGAAAGACCACTCGCAGGTCTTTCTTAGTCTCCTAACTAGGATACTTCAGCATAACTTCAAACAAAATTGGATTGGAAGCAGATCTTATTCTATTTAGAAATCAATGAGGCATACTGCAACTAAATTATGACTTACTTATGATTAAGTCTGTTTTCAACTCATGAAATTCACAATAAATGATAAAATATAAATTTAAGCCGTGTTTTAAACAGAGATTCAGGGAATGCATTTTCTACTGAAATGGTTATATACCTTCTTCCTCCTCAACTTCTTCTTTACAATGCTGTCTCTCTTCAGTGGTTTCTTTTTCTTTATCCTGAGATGGAGAAGTTGTCTCAGTCTCTTCTGCCATTGCTGAGCATGCTTCGTGGGGACCACTCTCGTTGGAGGTTTCTTCAGCTTCCTCCTCTTCGTCAAATTTAAGTCTTTTCACTTCGTAACCTTCCATTTCTGAGGGATCGTCTCCAGGGTGTTTATTTTTTACAGGACAGTTTTGGACTCTTTCAGGCTCAGATGCTGGCGATTCACTAGAAGACAGGAAGAGAAAAAAAAAATGGAAACACAAAGGATCATATTTTCATATGAAGAGATAAGCAGAGATATTGCATCTTAAGCAGTGTTTCTCAACCTTGACAATTTTAAGGCATGTGGACTTCAACTCCCAGAAGACAAAAACAAAGTTTTGACACAAACCAGTTGTGCCAGCATCACTATTCCAATTCAACTGGGAAATCTTATTTAAAATAAAATAAAATCTTGTTTTAAGCAAAATAGTATTCATAATGTACAGGAAATATGGTCCTTTATAATCAATGAATATTGTATGCAAACAGTTTTTTTTTTTTTTTGCTTGCACAGTAAAATTTTCTCCTTTTCCCCTTCTGTGGACTCTCAAATCCCTAGTGAATTTTTATGTACACAAAAGGATACAATAAACTGTTACTTCTCAATTCCAAAGACAGAACAAATTCCATTAGCTGATATTTTTTTAAAAAAATGTCACTGACATTTAATTTCCCCCAACAGATTATGATCTAAATATTCACATAAATTTTAAAGATGAGGTACTCCAGGATACATTATTTATACACATCCTACAGTATCCTAATATAGTGAGCACTTATGCATTAAGACTTTTAAAATAAGAAAGGAATAGTTCATGCCCATAAGAAATCTGTCTGAAAAGAGAATGTGCTCATTTTCATTTTGGAGAACAAAATCTGTTAACAGAAAATACAGATAGTCCTTAACTCACAACCACAATTAGGATTGGAATTTCCATTGCTAAGTGATGTGGTCATAAAGTGAGACATCATGTGACTATAGTGCTTAGCAACTGCAACTCTGGCACTCCTGGTTGCTGTTATAACTCTAAATGCACAGTGTTTAATATTATTTGTTATGTTGGACAGTGTTTAATATTTAATATGTATTAATATTTAATATTTATTTGTTATGTATATGTAGGGCTGTGGGTCTATACATATGTTGTATATAGTATGTTTAGGTGTATGTCATGTATGTGTTCACTTTGAGATGTGTGCCGTTGTGCCCACAGTAAAAAAAGACAATAAAGGTGATCTTATCTTGCATTAACAGAGGGATAGACTGCGTTAACAGAGGGATAAAATCAAGATCACGTGAAGTGTTAATACCACTTTACAATGCCTTGATAAGGCCACACCTGGAATACTGCATCCAGTTTTCGTTACCACGATGTAAAAAAGATGTTGAGACTCTAGAAAGAGTACAGAGAAGAGCAACAAAGATGATTAGGGGACTGGAGGCTAAAACATATAGTATAAGGAACGGTTGCTGGAATTGGGTATGTCTAGTTTAATGAAGAGAAGTACGAGTGGGGACTTGATAGCAGTGTTCCAATATCTCAGGGGCTGCCACAAAGAAGAGGGAGTCAAGCTATTCTCCAAAGTACCTGAAGGCAGGACAAGAAGCAACAGATGGAAACTAATCAAAGAGAGAAGCAACCTAGAACTAAGGAGAAACTTCCAGACAGTTAGAACAATTAACCAGTGGGACAACCTGCCTTCCAACACTGGAAGTTTTTAAGAAGAGACTGGACAGCTATTTGTCCCAAATGGTATAGGGTTTCCTCCCTGAGCAGGGGGTTGGACTAGATGACCTCCAAGGTCCCTTCCAACTACTACTACTACTACTATTATTATTATTATTATTATTATTATTATTATTATTATTATTATTATTATCTTAAATGAGTGGGTGATCAAGTGGGGTGGTAGGGGCAATGTGTAACAAGCACAGGTAGGCCAGGAAAGGAATACACTGCAGCTTGGAGCTTCTTGTAGTGAAAGAAGCCCCTGAGCCACAGCAAACTCACACCCACAGTCACTCCAGCCTGGCCAGTAGTATAGCACAAAACCACTGCATCCCAGGAAATCCTGGCCACTCTGTGTTCCACAGGCCCTGCTGCATCCAGCTGATTGTTGCAGTTTTTCTGCCACTGCTGAGATGTAGCCAGCCTGGCGCTACTGTATCTAAGACAGGTGCTGGCTCTGCCAGGCCTTCTTGCAAAGTCTCTTGTACTGTTCTCCAAATTGTGTGTATAATTCATTCTCCAAGCAGCGCACCCCACTCTTGCAATGCTTCAGAAAGCTTTCAGGAAACAACTGAGGTCTTCCCCAGGTCTTGTGAGAACAGGCCTGCTATCTGAAGAATGGAGAGGACCTCTTTCCCATGATGCTTCAGAATACCTCAAAAGCTTTATGAAGACTTTCCAAAGCACTGCAAGAATGGAGTGTTTTTATTTGGAGCTTAAATGGTGTGCGTGACTTGGAGAATGATGTGAGTGGCCATCAAGAAAAAAGCTTGTTGCAAATGTTAAGAGCAGGCCAAACACACCTCATCAGTAACTGGAGGAAAGTGTGAATACAAGGTTACAGGGGAACGGCAGCTTTGAACAGTGGTGCCTGGGGTGGAAGCGCCCCTTGGCTTGTAAGTGCTGGTGGACTGCCAATCGCCCAAATTCTGATTATGCAACCACTGGGTGCTTTGATAGCCATAACTTCAGATCCGAGGTTGTAAATCCCTTGGTTTACAGGCTGTAAATCCCTTGGTTCAGTGCTATTGTTAACATTGGGTAGTCACTGGAGAAATGGTTTTAAGTTGAGGACTAAACATGGCATATTAATAAAACATAAGACTTTCAAGGGAGAATGGGATTAAGAATAAAAACGTTAAACTCAAGAGTCTAACCAAGATGTCTGAAGACATATTCCTCTTACAGACCTGTTAATTTTCTCCTCAGTTTGCAGGAGACTCAGCTCCTTACTTTCGGAACTGTCTGGTAAACCATTTGTAGTCATAGGAGGTGACAAAGAAACTTTTGGTCGAGTTACAGGCCGGGGTGTCCCAGGACCATTTATATTAGATCTGCAAAGAAAATGTCTAATTAATCAAATCTGGAAAGTCATGGTTCCGAAAGAAGAAGCTTTTCAAAGAACTTTGAAGCTTTGTTTACCTTAAAGAATCCTTTTATTACTACATAGCTTCCGCATAATGAAGCCAAAAACTGAATCCTCCCTTCCCCAGATGACTTCCAAGTGAGCATAACTCACTCCTTCATTTAACAGTCATCAATCACCTTCCGCAATTAGTTTGAAGTGTGAACTTTCCCTCCCATAACTCCTCTGGTTACAACTGACCTTGGAAATACTGTACTGAAATATTGTTATGGATAAGTATCCCCTGAGTACATACCCCCCCCATTCTAATATTGTCTGACTTTAACTTTAGAAGTGATACACAGGTTAAATAAAACATGTTTGCTTCTTCATATATGTTAAGCAAGAACATCCGATGTTAGCAGCCTTGACATCATACTTCCCTGAGATCCCAAAATATATATCAATTTATTCTTATTATAAATTGACTCCCCCCGTTATTTAATAATGAAAGTCACATAATTTTTTTCCAACAATACTGAAAAACTATTCAATTATAAAAAATATTTTCATATAATGAGAGCATGTTAGTATAACAAAGTATAACACGCACACACACATGCATGCAAAGATTTTGAACTGTGATTAAATATCCAAGTGTTTTAAAAAATAAACATTGGAAATTTAATACTAATCCATTATCTTATATTGTTTAGAATGTGCTCATTTTAAGTACTCTTTCTTACCTGTCTGAATAACCTGGTGAGTTTCCTGGAAACATTACACCATTCATCCTGTTTAAACTGTTGGAATTATTTTTCCTGCAAGAAATAAACGTGTTTTGAGATTTCTGCAATATATGTTTTTTTTAAAAAACAGTTTGGCTAAGAACAAACACCTCCAGATTCCTAGAAGGTTTGTTTCTAGTTCCCCCTTTTAAAATTCATATAATTCTAATCAATTATTAAAGAGAACCTGCTCTGTTTATTTTTTTCCCAACAGTACTAAAAAACTATTCAATTATACAAAAACCAACTGTGTACTGGAGAACAAAAAAAAAAAAATCTTTGATTTTTTTACCATCTAATATACGTTCTTGCCTCTAGTTCCTCCTTCCCTTTCTGAAAATAAAAGACCATGGATAATATACAGGTAGTCCTTCTTCAAAGACTGCCACATATAGTGACTGTTCAGAATTGCAGTAGTGATGAAAAAGTAACTATGTGAGTAACCCTTGCATTTACAACCTTTGCAGGCCTGAAATAAGATCATAAAACAGTCACGGTTTTGCTCAGTGACTGCTTTGCTTAATGACAAGAGTTGCCAATCCTGATTACAGTCACTAGAAAAGGACTACCTATAAACTCTTTTCATTTGTTAGTTCCCTACAACTTCCCTGTCAAATTATATTGAAACAAAGTATGTCTTATAACATAGATGAAGTATCCCAGATTTTATACAGATAGCCCTTGACTTAGGACCTCAATTGGGATAGGAAATCCCAGAAATGATATTTTTATTGTGGTCATTAAGCAGATCACGCAGTCATTAAGCAAACTGGGAATGGGCGGGGGGTTTTTTGCCAGAAAGTGGTTAAAAAGTTGCAAATCATGATGATGTGATTCTATAACACTATAACTACCGTCTCAGTCCCATATCCAGGCCTGAAACCCAACTGAAAGATAATAATCCACTTCATCCAGGACTCTTTTCCAGCATAGGTGAGAAAGAAGACCGAGATGTCTACCAAATAGATTGACAACTGTACTGAGGCGAAAGTTCTCTGTTGCTGCTAGCTCCCTACCAAACGGCAACCAAAAATCACAGAGATCTCCCGTCATACAAAATGTTAAATCTGATCAAACTGCTCCTTCTCAGGGTGACATCTGGTCACGAGCCCTCAGCAATACACACACTGAACAACTAGCCAACACTGCTGTCTGGTGATCCAGTGCTGCAGGCTATTTTCAAGAGCCCAGTTCTAGCCTGCAGCAGCTCCTTTTCAGCCAAACACCTTGTTGCTGGCCACTGAAAAACCAGCACTGTTGCCAAATGCAGCATCTCTGCAGCCACCTCCAAGCAAAGCACAAATAGTGCCTCCAAAACAAAGCAGCTTGTATCAGCTGTCAGAAACTGGCACCCAAGGCAGTCTCCTGCTTTTGATAACACTATGAGGGACAAAGGAAGAACAGAGGTCTAGCATAGCTCTCTGCTTCCACAGCCCAAGCTGTGTTGGTTTATTAGCGAATGTTGAATCTCTTACCAAGAAAGTGGCAGATCAGGTAGTCTCCAATCTCCCACCATATAAAAACAATCACCCCAAAGCAAGTCCATCTTACTCTACCATTTGTATGCTCTTCCCACCATTTAAAAACAGGCTAATTTGTTGCTAGTCTATTTCCTAATAAATAAAACTGATCCCAGAGTACCTGTTAACTCAATCCCAAGTACACCATCAATAACAAATGCACTGCAATCTCAACAAGAATGCAGTCTCATTTTTAAAATAAATAGTAACGAATGTCATACTCACTCTGAAGAAGGATATACACAGCTGACAACCATAACATTCTGTGAGATAAGAAAAAAAGAAAACATCAAGACTTATGGGAAAAGTAAAAGCATATTTTACAAGTCAACCATTCATCGTGTAGTCCTAGATTGTTTGGTTGGTCCTTATTAGTATCTGATTCGCCAGCTTCTCAAGCTGTTTGTCTATATCACAGACCTAAACTTCTGTCTCCCAAACTTAAGCAATGTTAACTCCCAATTCCCAGCCAATCTGAACCTATTTTATGGTATGGCATCATCTTCCTCTGAGAGCCAGTTTGGTTAAGACATGAGGCTGTAAACCAGAAGACCAGGGATTCTAGTTCTGTCTTGGGCGTGAAACCAGCTGGGTGATCTGGGCATATGAACCCTATGAAGGTGGAAATAGAAAACCGCTTCCAAAAACCCTTGCTAAGAAAATTGCCAAGTCCAGGCAGTTGCCAGGAGTCAACACTAACTCGAAGGCATACACATACACATTGTCTTCCTCCATTTATTTTCAAAGAATTATTTTTCAGACTGCCTACTTTTTCCTAATTGGTGGGGTAGTGGGGCTGGGGCAGTATGACCATCCTCACCCTTTGTGACCTTTTAGACCGGCTTTGGAAATTAGGGGTGGACAGCACTGTGTTGCAATGGTTCTCCTCCTTCCTCCAGGGTTGGTTCCAGTCTATGTTGATGGGAAGGGGGAGATCCAGATTGGAGGGAGGGGGAGATCCAGCCTATGGCCCAACTCTGTAAGGTACCTCAGGGCTCAGTTCTTTCTCCTGTTTTACCTAACATCTACATGTGGCCACTTGGGGGAAGGTGGTTTAACAGTTTGGGGGGAGCTATCCTCAATATACTGATGATACCCAGCTTTATAACTCCACCTTGGCCTGCCTGAGTGATACCATGACATCCTATCTCAGTTCCTAGAGGCTGTAATGGTCTGAATGGATTGCAATGGCCTTTGACTCAATCCAAGCAAGACCAAATGACTTTGGGTATTTAGGGGTCCAGGTGAGCAGGTTTTCCCATTAGTCCTGGATGTGGGAACACGATCCAGAGGGTGTGCAATATAGGGGTCCTCATGGAGTCTGTTAGAAGACCAGATAGAAGTCAAAGCCAGAAGTGCCTTTGTACAGCCTAGTGTTGTATACCAGTTGCACCCGTTCCTGAATCGGCTTTGCTCACAGTCACTCTTCCCCCTTGTGACTTCTTGTCTAGACTACTGCAATGCATTTTATATGGGGCTACTACTGAAGAGCATTTGGAAAGTTCAACAGGTGCATAGGTAGTAATGGGGGTCAGGTATTCAACACATGAAGCATCATTGTCTCATAAGCTGCACTGATTGCCAGTAGGCTTCCAGGTGCAATTCAAGATGCTGGTTATTACCTTTAAAGCCCTTCATGGCTTGAGGGCCAGGTTCTCTAAAGGCCACCTTCTCCCAATTGTTTCTATCAGTTCTATCAGGCAGGTTGGACATGCTACAGGTCCTGTCAGCCAAGGAATGTCAGCCAGGGGAACCATGAGACACGACTTCTCTGCCATAGCCCTGCCCTCCGGAATATTCTCCATTCAAGTATCCCTTGGCTTTCCACAAGGCCATGAAGACTTGGTTATGTGCCAGAGCCTGGGCCACTGAACATGTTCAGAGTCCCATTTCCTGGTTGTATTAACATCCAGAGCAACAGTTTTACTAGGTGCCGTATCTTTCTTTGTATCATTTTAATTGTTTTTTTTATAAGGCACCCAGAGTCACTTGTTGAGATGGGCAGATATAGAAATCAAATCAATCAATGAATAAATAAATAAAATCATGCCAGATCAATCTCTCATAGTACTGTGTACATGGGGAGAGGTAGCATCAGTAAATGTGTTTCGTCAAAAAGTCAAATAAATGCAAATCAAATACAATAAATATAAACTCATTAAGCAACAACTGAAAACATTGCTGAAATACAACTGGAGGAGAATTGCTGTTTATACTATATAACAATTCTAAAAATTAATTAAACAAAATTGTTAATTCTATTAATTCTGTTAAAAAGATTAAACAAATTTAAACAGCTACAATTTTAGTTCAAGAACAATTGACTATTTACCTTTTCAACTCCTCTGAGAAATTTGTCTGTTCCCGTGTAATTCCGCCTAGGATCTGTTAGCAGCTCACAAAGTCGCTGAATAGTAAATGGGACACTGAAACAAATTGAAACAAGCTAATTTTTACTTTGAATGCATATTGAATGAGAGGCAATGAATAAATCTGTTCAGTTGGTACATTTTTAAATCCATAACCCTTCGTGAACCACTTGTTCATTTTACTGCCTCTAAATGTGTACTATATTAAGTAAACAGTAGGTGGAGCTGCAAGATAGCAGAAATATATGCTTGCCTTCAAAGTGTCCTATAAATGGCTAAAGAGTCCCAAAACATTCACTTAATTATTATCATTCATTGGATAGTACAAAATATTAATAAAGGGTGGACTAAACAAAGAATCTCTTGCTTTCAGATATGTGTGCCATAAAGGATTCTGAATTCCTTCATAGGAAGCAATACAAATTTACTCATTAAAAATATGCTTTCGTACAATAGAATAATTTAGAATAACTGATTCTTTTTCAAATGGAAATTAGGACATCAAGTATAACTATTTTCAGTGAATGATTAATATGCTAATAATAGAGCAGAGTAGGCAGTTTGAAGACTTGGGAGCATCACGATAGGCTGCATATTGCAAATGTCAGAGCTATGTGACTGTAAACGTTGGTTAAACAAAAATAACTTTCCATTTTAAACAACCTCCTTGTTCACATCTTTGTTCAGTTCAGCAGAGGCATCTCTTATCTACTCAACATTTTAAACTTTCTTTACAGCATTTCAGAGTGTTTAAAATATCTTCACCAAGTGTCAATTGTTCACTCTGTCCCTACCAAATAATATAATAGCCAGATCCTGCTCTCTGGAAGAGAACACTGAATACAACCTAAATACATACATACATAGAATTTCTATACAGATTAATTCCTCACATGTTCTGAATTTTGTAACAGAAGTAATCCTTCTGTTAAGGCCATTCATTGATCAGAAAAGATTCTGATTCTGCAAACTATTAGGGAATGAAGAAATCAAAGCTTTATTCTGATCTTAATTTCCTAATAATCCCCTATCTCAGGAACCCAATTTGGAAATCCATTGCAACAGTAGTTCTCAACCTTTTCTTCACCACAGACCCCCTTTAAATACTTTTTTGTGGCTACGGACCATCAAGACGTAACTCAAGATTTAAATCATAACATTTCTTCAAGCCTTCACGGACCTCCTCTGACATTGCAGCCCCTCCAGGGGTCTGCAGACCATAGGTTGAGAACCCCTGCATTACAATATTTCCTTCGTTGCACCTCCATAGTTAAGTTACTCATTATTCCAACTGCAATTCTAAAGAGGATTAGAGTCCACATTTTAAGTATGATTTCAAATAATGCACAAGATCCTATCTAATTAAAAAAGCAGCTTACAGAGTTAACCACAAGCAACTTAATAACCAATATTTTTATCAAAGAAAGTTGGAAATTACTTTTAAAAAAAAAACTTTCCCCTCTTTTTGTCTGAACTTCCCCATTTTGCTTTTTCCTTGTCATTCCCTTTTTAAATTTTTTTTTTTGCTTTTTTTTTAAATTTTTTTTGACATTTAGACAATTTTGGAAAAAAGCCAAGGAAACAAGATGTATGACTTGTTACGACCTGAAACAGTTAACATTAAACCAATGTTATGCCTTCAACATGATGTATATATGTAAATCTTAAGTAATTGTTAAAAAATTAAGAATGCAATTTCAGAAACAAAAGAAAAGAAAATCATAACGGAAACTATCAATGGGCACACCATCAATCTATTCCACAGCTTGGAGAAAAGCCAAATTTTTAAAGAACAACTAAAAACGTTCAGGGTCTGAACTACACTGCTATATCTGATATAAATAGAAGCTTAAAATAACACTAGAATTTAGAAATACAACAGCTTCTTGTATAATCTGAGCTAAGGAAAAGCAAATGAATTTCATAGAAAAGTACAATTCAAGATGTTTGCTTTAAGAGTTAGACTTTTGTCAATAAACATTTATTAATACCCATTATTCATGTTGCAGATATGACAGAAAATCAATACAATATGAAGATCAGAACAGAATCTTGAATCAAGCGACATAAATAACGAAGTTACTGATATAATTCTACATACCCATTAAAGCCAGTAACTATTTTCAGAATTCGTTCTTTCATCTCCTCAAAGGGAATATATTCCACATTAGGGTTAGGAGGGCCTCTTGGCTCAGGAGCAGAAGTTCTGAAGTCATCCATCACTTTTTCCAATTTGAAAATAAAATATCCTTTGAATTGTGACCACTGAATCCTAAAAAAGAAATATACAAACATTAAAAATCAAATGTTAAACATATTTAGATTAACAAAATAAAGCAAGTTTAGCACTTTTTGTTTTTCAGGAAAGCAAGAAAAAAATGTGAGTAAATGCAAAGTATGCTGTTCTTTAAAGCCAAAGTGAATAGTCCTTGACCTATGAACATTTGTTCAGTTACCATTCAAAATTATGATGGCCCTGAATTGGTTACAACTGGTCCTCAAGAGTTCTGGCTGTCAAGCACTTTTGTAGCCAATGTGATCAAAATCTGGACGCTTGTTAACTAGTTTGTACTTACAACCAATTGCAATACCCCATGATCACCATTTGAAGCCTTCCCTGCTGGCTTCTCCAGAAAATGAATGGGGCAGCAGGGAAGGTTTTAAGTCACTCGGTTATTCTCCCCCACTCACACACCCTCACCCCAGCTCCTCTGTGCTTATATCTTCCCAGCCACTCGCTCACCCCTTTGCACCCTCCCCATCCCTCACTATGCCTTGCACCTTCCCAACCCATGCTGTCTCTCATGTACCCCCCTAGACCAGGGGTAGGCAACCTTGGCTCTTTTATGACTCGTGGACTTCAACTCCCAGAATTCCTGAGCCAGCCATGCTGAGGGGAAAGGGAGAGGTTTCCATGCTGAGCCATGCTGGCTCAGGAATTCTGGGAGTTGAAGTCCACGAGTCATAAAAGAGCCAAGGTTGCCTACCCCTGCCCTAGACTCTCCTCAATCTGCCTCTGGCTCTCACACTCCCCCTCACACCTTTGTGCATGCTCCCTGGCCCGTGCCTCTTGTGCACCCCTTGTAATCTTTCCTGCATCCCTGCACACCTTCCCCCACCTTGCAAGAGTCATCTACCTGCCTGCTGGCCTGGGACTTACAATTTCCTCCAGCTCCCCCACTGATTTTGGTTGTGGGAAACGAGCAGAAAATTGCTTACCGCTATAGGATTCAGTTAATGATGGCAATCTGGACTCCAGCGAGTGCCGTCACTAAGCGATATGATTGCACTTTACAACTGCATCCCTTAAAGATGGAAAGCCCAATCCCAACTTCTAATAAGACAGGCTGAATTTTAAAAATGTTTTTAATGATCGTGTAGTCCCAGATGTAACTTTTGATTAAGGACTTAGCTTACTTTAGTGTTAATAATTAATTCTGTAAATATCAGCAATTTAACACGAACTGCTATAGCCACTGTATTTGCCTTCAATGTAATTTATTTTTCCCTATTTAGAAATACTAATCAAAATGATAATATTAAAAAAGCATACATTCTGGACTTTTATAGTAAAGTATTTTGGTTTGTATCCTGACTTAATAAGGTCGACAGAAATCAGTGGGATATATTTTAAGAAAATCTTACATTAAAATCTAACTCTAGTTTGAAGAGAACACTGATTTATTTGTTTCATCAACAAGATTTATTTCAGATGAATGTTGAAGAATTACCAAGAAACAGGAAAATGGGCCATTATAGTTGTTACATAAATGTATTTCATAAAACAAATGAAGCATTCGATGAGAGTCATATTATTAACCTATGACCTGGTCCCTTAGAAGCAAATTTACTGTACATAATCAGAAAGAGAGTTTGCATTGTTGAAAGGTGTAAACTGTTTTTAAGAGTTTTATTACATACTAATAGCTATGAACTTTGTTAAGAATTATGTCTATTGTCCTTGGATGGTGCAAATAGCCATTCTCCTTTCTGGCCTTAAGCTAACATGAGCAAAATACAGTTCTTAAGCTACAGGTTTCAATATACTTCGCTACTGGTGATGTTGGCTGAAGTTTACACTTCAGCAACATCCATTGCCTTTCCTCTCCCCTCCCCTTTCCTCCTCTTTTACCAATTCTCAGAGACTGCCTGGAGAAGTCACTGGAGTTTTCTTGGCAAGGTTTTTCAGAAGTAGTTTACTATTTTCAGTAGTAGATTACTATTAAGAGCTATGGTGATGCAGTGGTTAGAATGCAGTACTGCAGGCTACTTCTGCTGACTGCCAGCTGCAGGCAGTTTGATCCTCACCAGCTCAAGGTTGACTCAGCCTTCCATTCTTCTGAGGTCAGTAAAATGAGACCCAGATTGTTGGGGGCAATATGCTGACTCTGCAAACTACTTAGAGAGGGCTGTAAAGTACTGTGAAGCGATATATAAGTCTAATTGATATTGCCTCCTTCCTAGGCTGAAAGTGATTGGTTCAAAGGCACCCAGTTAGTGCCCAAGGAGGAACAAAACTCATGATCTCCCAGTTTCTAGCCTGATGCTTTAACCACTACACTACAGAGACATGACTGTCTATCCTCTCCATAGTTTGAAAAAATGTCTGGTTATATCACTTGATATTTGACATTTATGTTTGGTTAATATACTGGTAATGTTTGTATTTATTTCACCTTTTTATGCAAACATTTGAAATGATTCTCTGTGGGATGTTTAGCAGCATAACAAATGATACTATACTGTTATGAGTGTGCATGTTTGTACCTAATATTTAAAAAAGCTCATAGAGCAAAACTAAACTACAAGAAAAAAAACCCGAATAATCTGTAGAAAGCATGTACGGCAGACAACAAAAATAACAACTGGTCTCAACATATGTGGCCGTGTTAAAATCACAGTTGCAAATCCACAAAGGATAAAAAGTTAACAAAAACTATTAGTAGACTTCACCATCTACATTAGCTCCAATAGATCTTACCAGTTGTAGTAATTTGATTGCAAAACTATTTTTCCTGTAGGCCATTTTCACAAAAAACTTGATTCTGCCTATTGATGTTTTTATTCTCTGTGTTACCATGGCTTCACCACAACAGTACTGCAACAAGACTCTCAAAGGAATGTACAGAATACAGTGCAGTAGTTTCATTAGCAACTGGATGTTTTATTAATATACGGTCAGATTCCTGTATAGCAAATTGATTTTTCAAAGGTATCTCTAAGTTCCTCATATTATTCATATAGAATATTAAATTTCAATATTCTTAGAATGAGCAGAACACCTACCTCTCTTACCAGTGCTTAGCTGATTAAAAAAATAAAAGTTAAAAGAAAGGATATCGATGTAGCCTCTTCTGACAAGTTGGTTCTCAAGGTAAATTGCACGATTTAAAAGAATCTCTATTCACCTTTCCCCAATCAGATATTCACGTGTTACAGAAGTGCTACTTTTGTACAATCTGTATTTTTTAGCGTAATTTGAATAAGACAAGATGGCATAATCACAATCTTGGTAAATATGAAATAATTTGCATTAATAATTTAATTTCCTCAGTGGAATATTGCAGAATACATAATTTAGTGTTATCTTTGGTTTACGTTCTAACCGAGAAAGGAAATTCAGACAACATACATTTTCCTAGAACAGGTTCTTGCTGAACTCACAGGGCTTACTGCCTAGTAAATGAGTGCTAGAATGAGTGCATTTACAGGAAATCATTTACTGTTATCAGTCGTATCTTTAATCTAAAGAAAAAGTGGCTCAGTGCACAGCAGCTTGAATCTAGGAAACCTCAACTGAATATAATTTATTCGGTCCCTGAAAAGCTTTTGAAAAGTCACACTTTTGTCTCATTTGTATGTCTGACACTGTAACACTTTGCAACTTTTCAAAAGTCAGAAAGAATGTGACCCACTAGCAAAGCAACCTTATACAAGGAGATTTTTGTTATGTATAGTTCATGAATTGATTCATGGATAAACTATCAATGAGTACTATTAATGATAAGCAAAAAGTGTATAGTCACTCACGTGTAACTTTGTGAAATGGTATCACGTATAATCAGTGGACTCAACTATCTCAACACACAGGCAACTGTTTAATCAGAATTCCCCATCTAGAGCTACATGGTCAATACTTTATGTCAGAAATAGAATTAACCTAAGACTGCAGTGCGATTGATGAAATCAAATACATGACCCCATGTTATTCTCCTAATGCACTAATAAAGCTAAGTGGGTGAACAGCCCAGTTCAGAAGATTTATCATAAACAAATCTAACTAAAGTTTCCCATTCACTTTAGTAAAAGCTTTACCCATACAACCCCCCCTCCAAAAAAAAACATGAGGAGGGAAACCTATTAAAGGAAAGAATTGTCCCTCAGCAAAGAGTTCCTTAACTACTTTTCAGGGCAAACATAGGATATGTTTAAAATTGTACATTATCTTCTTCTAACACAATTATATCTAATACCTTTTTGTTATTTAAGCAATTTTATAAACTAATCTAACAAGTCATCTATCTTAGTGATCAGTCTGAACTAAGAGAGACAGTTATATGAGGGAAGAAATTAGACATTCTCTTGAATGCTCACCCAAGTTCAAATGTTAAAAAAATGTATCTAATTTCATCCATAGTTACAGTAGTCCTTGTCTTACAATGGCAATGGGGAGGGGAATTTCTGTCGCTAAGTGATGCTATCATAAGGTATTATGTCACATGACCGCATCCCTTAGCAATGGCAATCATGGCAGTCTCACTTGCTGCTATTACCCCAGGAATGTGCAGGTCATTAAGTCATATGATTGCAACAGGGGAAGAGGCTGGAGTTCCAGGCAAGCGGAAAGCTACCAGAGATGAGGAGGGAGTGCTGCAGGCAGGCGTAAAAAAAAGCAGCAGGGATGGGAATAACTTGTAGTTTCCTGTTGGCTTCCCTGTTGACTTTGCTTGTGGGAAGCTGGAAGGGAAAGTTGCAAATGGTGATCACATGACTGTAAAGCACTGCAACTGTCGTAATTGTGAACCTGGTTGCCAAGCATTTGAATCTTGATCAGATGACCACAGGGAAACTGGTGGATGCTATTATAACCGTTAACTATTTGTAAACAAAATATTTCTTCAATGCCTTTTTTCAGTTATGATTAAACCCCAGATTCTCCAGGTCCAAACTGCACCTAAAAACTGGCATACGGAGAAGGAAAGAGACCACGTGATAGAAGAAGCAAATCTTTCTAAATAACAATGTAACTAGCTCGCAAATAATATGTTTTAA